TATATATATATATATTGTTTGTCCAGTCTGTCAGTTGCAGTCCAGTCTTTATTGCATACCTATCTTAATCCTAACTTTGTGATGGCGCATGATAAATTCATCGTAATTACACACAAATTAGATTAATTCTGCAGAAAGTTTCTTTCATCCTTTACCTCGAAAACTGCACTTACTACTAAACTAACACTTGAAAATGTCAGTTTTAATGTCGGTTCCGATCAAAGATGTATATTAATAATAAAAAAATAATAATTGTTATTTAATGTTATTTTCTCATTATCAAAGATTTAATCAAAATGTAATGGATAAAAGTGTCGAACGAATGTTAAGCCTATTAGAAAATGTATCATCCTCTATACGCGCATAAAACGACCATTTTCAATAATATAAAAAAGAAAAAAAATTAATATATGAAATAAAGAGAAAAAAATTCGAAGAAATTATCTCCCTTTTTTTGGTTCAGCCAAAAGTATGAATGTGAGCAGTGCTCCGATTTCTGTTCTGGTCGTCGTAAACGAAAGGTAGCGTGAAGTGATGCACGAGAAGGTACAAAACTGAAAAAAAAAAGGAATATAAGGGAGGACCGGATTGTGGAAGATGGTACACGGTTGGAATAGTTAAAAATAACTCTGACCAAAGATCCTGCGGTTCCTGTAAACACGAGCTCGAGCATGGCAAAACGAGCATGGCGCTATTCGTATGCGAATATACAGAGGGTGATCCAGAGGGATTTTAGCGAAGCGATAAACCAGCGAAAGGATATGCGCGCGAATCTCTCATTCAGATGCATTTAAAGAATCAACATGAGGGCTTTATTGCTTTTCATAGAATGACGGCTTTCAAAGTGAAAAAATGTTTGTTATTTTTTAGCTCGTGTTAAACGAATGGAGCGATACATTATTGAACTTATTGCTGGCAAAAGTTTACGTGTTGCGATAAAAAAAGTGTCTATAATATAACTTAAAACAATCAGAAAAGTATTTCTTCAAATATTATCTAGTAAATTAAAAATAGCACACTATCTAGTAAATATATTTTAAGTTTCTGTATCTCTCGTCATTAATATAATTATGTAATTTTAGTGTTTAGTAAATGTAAAAATACAGCAATTTAATCGATAGAATTGAATTCTATTTACAAAATTGTCTAAAAATATCTTGCCATTGTTTCAAATATAAATAATTCGTTTACTGTTCAAAGAATATATGCCTCTATATATATTTTATTCTATATATTAAAAATTTCTAAGCACAGTTGTGTAAAATTTTAAAGAAATCTTCAATTAATATGCTATAAATTATATATTTCAAATTTATTGCGAAGGGGAAAATTTTTTATTTTTGTACAAAAAGTAATTTCCTTTTTAATTTTCCAAAAATTTAGTTTTACTTTTTATTTTACATCCTTCCAACATTAAGCGAGACATTAATTTAATTTATAAAAGAAACTGTGTTAAGAAGGGTTACGAATCCAAGTACAAAGACGTTTTGATTCCAATCGAGTCATTTTCAATGTTATAAAAATAGTATATATTGTTTATTATTTATAACATTGAGAATGACCCGATCAAAGTCGAAACATCTGTTAGTTTAATATAGACATATTCTTATTTTTATTTATTTTTATGTTATCTTATTACTTACATTAAAAAATTGTTACTTTGGCTCGTAGCCCTTCTTAACAATTTCTTTTATTTTTATTAATTGAGCCATATATTATATTATGTAATCTAATTTATATTTAAAAACTCACGTGCTTCCATAGAGGTGTCTTGAGTCAGTGGTGGATGCTGCGTCGTCGTCGTTGTCGTCGTCGTCGTCGTTGTCGTCGTCGTCGTCGTCGTCGTCGTCGTCGTCGTCGTCGTCGTCGTCGTTGTCGTCGTCGTCGTCGACGATGCAAATGAATCTTCGTTGTCGCGCGCGATGGTGACCTTGACCTGCTCCTCGTCGTCTTGCTCGCCCTTCGATGAGCTACGCTCAGAACTCGCGCGCACCCTTACACGCTCGGCCACCTGCACATTGTCTCCGGAAAACGCCGACCGCGACGATGACATCGGCCCGGCGACTGTTGTCGTTGTCCACTCGATGACACTATCACCACCAACTACGATCGCACTATTATCCTCGTTTCCCACGAGCACCAACTCCTTTTCTCTCTTATCACCTTCCACTCGGTCCTCGGTCACTCTCTCGACGTCATTTTTCTCGGGCACGGTGCTTTTGGCGTGTTGAGTCGCATCGAAGTACACGATGTTCCGCGTGATCGTTCTGGTCGCCACCGCCGTCGTCGTCGTCGTCGTTGTCTTCGAAGCACTTTCGCGAAATAAAATATCTCGTAGGGAACTTTCCGAACGTAATATTGATCCTCCAAGCTTGAAGACGGGCTCTAACAGCGGAGTAAAAGTCTGGACTGCAGGGCGAATCCTTTCATCGATTGACAGCCTGGGTTCCACTTTGCGAGATTGCGGAGGGTGTTCGTTAGCACGTCGCCATGCCTCCGGCCAAGAGTCGATGAAGTTCGGAGAGGGTTGATCTTTCAGCTTCGATCTCTTGCTTATCGCTACTCGCTTCGCTCTTCCTCGTCGCGCTACGATCCCCTCGTTGTCACGACTCGGCGTCAGATTGGAAAGATCTTGATGTCTGACGACGATAGTATTCAGCGGCGTTAAAGACGACGACGGTCTCAATAACGTCGTAGACGACGACGACGACAGCGGCGGCGGCGTTAACAATAACGGCGACGTTAATGATAGGGGTGACGTCAAGGGTAGCGCGGACGAAGGTGAAAGGCGTGTCGCCAATGTAAGATGATCCAGAGTTCCCTGATTCGCGTGACCTTCGGAATCGACGTCGTTAGGGTTAAACGCGCGTTTGATCGCCCTCCGGAACGGGCGCGGCGCGAACAAATAATAATCGGATGATCGCGGCGGCAGGTAAACGGGCGTAGGAACGTCGGCTAGATAGACGCTATTCAACGGTTCGAGTATCACCGACGCGGCCGTCACGTGCGTAAGATCGTCGAGAAGAGCAACAACGAGAAGAAGCAGGGGCAAACCCACCCCCGCCTCCGTGGTGGCTCCCGCTATCCCCTGCCGTGCGATAAGAATCCGCGAGGCGGCCGTTCAATCTGGCTGTCCGCGATCCGCTCGCAGCGGTAAACTTTGACGTTCTTTGTCTTTTCTTCTTGCTCCTCTTCCTCCTCCTCCTCCTCCTCCTCTCCTTCCTCTTGCTCCTCTTCCTCGCGATTTACATGCAACCACGCGATCCAGTCCTCCTGGAACACCTGCTCGCATTCGACAATTGTGTTTCGCGTTCCCACGTTTGATCCACCTCGGCTCGTGCCGGCGTCGTGCCGTTTTGGCATTTATTATCCCGTCGCGCGTCCCAGATACGTGCTGCTGCTGCTGCTGCTGCTGCTGCTGCTGCTGCTGCTGCTGCTGCTGCTGCTGCTGCTGCTGCTGCAGCTGCTGCTGCTGCTGCTGCTGCTGCTGCTGCCCCTGTTGCGCTCGATCTTGCCACCACGATGGGCGATCAACTTTACCGTATACTCGACCGACGAGCCGGATAATACTGTGCACCCTGTCCACGGGCATTCCGCCATCATCGTGCACCCTGTGAACAGTCGGTGCCGCGACTCGCGTCCCGACGATGCTCGTCGCATTCACGTTCTCTGGCTGCGTCGCGCGGCATCTTCCGCTCGCGCTTCACGCCTTCTCTTCCTTCTCTGCGTCCTTGCTGTCTACAGACGCTGTCCAAATAGCGTTCAGAGGACTATAGCACAATCTAAAACAATCAAAGAATTTTGCACCTTGACATATTTGGATCAATACCTTTCTATCTATAATCCTTCTTGTCTAATAGATATTTCATTTCCCGAGAAACACATTTTTTCTTTCCTTTGATAGTTTCTCAATTGAATCTAAAGTACTTAGTAATATAAGATCTAATTTTTTCTTGTTTTTCTTTTTCTTAATAAATAATATAAATTTCTTAATAAATATGACTTATAATATGTTTTGTTATCAAAATTTTGTTAGCATCATGAATTTTTCTTTACTCCTTTTTAAATCTAATTTATTGTATTTAATAGTTAAATAAATGAATCATTATTTTAAGTTATATTTTAATTTTCTGTTATAACTGCATCATAAAAAATTGTAATAATATTATAGATGTTCAATTAATAAGTAACAAAAACCATTTAAGACTTTAATCATTCATTATTATTCGCAACTAAATTTGAAGAAAAATTTAATTTTGAGAAATATAAAATATCAGAAATGTTGAAAAATTAAGATAAATGTTCACAAAATTTTCATCTTGTCTGGTACTGAGTTAACGTGAGACGTTAACATAACATGATCAAGTTCATGTATATCGTTTGCCGCCAATTATTCACGAGACGCAATTATCCCATCGGGAATAGAAGGGTTAAACAGTCCAATAACGAGTGCAAGTATGGATATAATAGTGCATGGGTGTATCTCTCAATGTGAAAACTAAACATGCATTTCCTATAAGGCTCGCAAGGAAATTCATCTCGAGGAAAAAAACAAAAGTTAAAATAATCACTATAAAAACTTATGAAAGAGATAGTTATTTTTACATTATAACTTTCGTCAAACAATCTAAATTATTTCCATGTATATTATGTTAGAAAGAGTTTTTTCGAAAATATTTTTTTATGTCGGTAAATATCATTTATGCGCCACGAAATATCATTGTATCACCTCGATACAGCAAGCTCGGTTTTCCGTTTTCATCTCTCATGGGTTACTGCATTTTCGATATCTCATTCATTAATCAACACTCCGATTCTGTACTGCGAAAAGAATCGACCGCTTTCGCGAACTTTACATTTCAAATGCTTATGCACCATTTGTGCTCTCACTAGCAGCAAAATAGCTTAAATAACTAATCCCTGGGTATAATAAAGGTAACACGGCAAACCATCTGCATAGAGCGAAGAAACACAGAAATACGAGCGTCTAGATGGGAGTGACTGATCTAAAAGTGTAACGGAGGAAATATAAAGGGAAATGTGTGTGAGAAAGAGAGAGAGAGAGAGAGAGAGAGAGAGAGAGAGAGAGCTTGTAGCTAGCTGTTAAGTTCCAAATAACTATTAAAGTAAACTCTACTCGAAATTAGCTAAAATTTAGTTTCTCTACACAATGTTGGAATTTGATTCATTGATATCCTTCTACTCTCAATCACTCATTTCTAGCTCATCTCGCAACTTCGAAATTTTTCAAAATATATTAAGATACACAGTTTACGTATGTGTGAATTTACATGTGAATATGGAAACTATACAATAGTGTCTTCAAATTTCCTTCTCTTAATTCGGCTATTAATGTTAAAAGGAAGAACGTAGTTATGACATAATTATATGTGAAATATTTTCCTGAACCGACACGGCAAAAATTCATAGCGCTATCTCTAAAAATATTTAAGACATGCGCTGAAAAAATAGACGAGTGAGTGAGGAATATACGGACGGCGCGCTTCTCGTTACACGAGGGTCGACCCTCCTGAAATTTGTTTACTACGCCGAGGGACACCGGTGTCCGGGGCTAAGTATAGCCGTAAGGAGGGAGAAACCGCGAAAATGCTATTTTTATAAGCACGCGCCGCGCGGACATTGTTGTGCCCGATCGACTGTGTCTCGACGGTGCCGCCGTTGGCCGGGTCGTACAGTCATTGATGTTGTCGCGATCATCGTCACCGTCGCTACGACACGCGTACGCAAAAATTAAATCGAGCCGGAAACTGGACATATAATCGATTTAATTATATTATCAAGAAACACTTTCGAATATGGTAAAATAGTTTATCGAAATGATTCTCTTTTCATAAAAATTTCCGACATTTCATCGTATATAGAAAAGATAATAATAATTTTTTCAATACAATAAACTAATATATTTGTCATTAAAAAATAAATTTTTAGAAACTCGTATTTATTATTTTCATCTCATAAATAAATCTGTATATAGTAATTATTTATGTCAGACTAAAAGTATTCCAAACATATGTTCGCCAATTGTATCTAAAAAAGCTTTATTGTGCAATTTTAATTTTAGTCACGAGATATAAATTTGCTTTCATTTAAGGCGTATTTATTTTTAATATTGTTAATATTGCTCAATAAATCAAATTAATTAAAGTCATCAAATTATCTCTAACTCGATTATAAGGGATGAATTATACGTATTTTTTAATAAGCAAATAAACAAATATGAATTTTTTGTACCTATATAAAGTAATACAAGAAGTTTGATGACGATTTAGAAAATCGGATCAGAAATTATTTCAATAAGAAGTGTGGTGTGTAGACATGTTTTTAAAAAATAATTAAGAGAACATTTTCATTTATTAAGTTATTGAACTGTATTGTTAAATATAAATATTAACCTTATTCAACTATTTCATATATATGTAACATTCACTTTTACTTTACTTTGGAAAGTATAAATTTCTAATTCCAGTCACTTTTTTCACAGAAACTCTACATCTGATACATCGTTAACCGAAAATTAGATGTCTCGACTTTTTGAGAAGTTCTAAACTTTTGTAGTGAGGTCACGAGATACTCTGCTATCGCTTCAAATTCCTAGTGGCAGAGAGTAGTCGGCATGGTAGGGACCTCGAGGAAGACGGGGGATACTAAACGGATCCGTTTCTACTTGGCTCGTCTAATGGAAGATTCGTGTATGCTGACTGATAACGATTGGGCTTTCGTGTTGGTGTCTAGCACGCAGCGGCACGCGGCCGATTGATCTTCTTATCCCCAACGCGAGATCACGCGCACTCGCTCGCGCGACACGCGTGTATCCGCCATACGTAAAACGCGGAATACCTGCTAATTATAGTCCCGTAGCTGAAGGAAGGAAACTGCGGAGGCACTATTTTTACGACTCTCCCGCCAAAATATCGTCGCGCGTCTGCCACGCGCTCCTACTCGACGGGAGGACAGGCGTTCACCTTTGTGTTACGTGACGCGTTTTATCTTATTGCACGACCGATAATTTGACGGAACTTGATTTGAAATGGAGCGCAATAGGGAGTTAAAGAAATATAAATATTTTACCCTCGATTTGTGAACTAAACAAACCGCTCGACGATTTACTTGCTTTCAGGAAAATATTTTTCGGCTCGCTGAGAAAAATCTTCGATTTTTAACGCAAAATTGCATTGTGATAAATTCGACACAACGTAAAGGAGGAGAATACGTTATGTATATATTAATGAAAAATATAATTAGATTTCATACGTAATATATCGCTACTTATATTTATAGACATATTCTTCATGACATCCGTTAATGTTATATCATAATATCAAATAATTTATTCCATCTTCATAGAATTTTATAGAATTTCAATCGTATTTAAATCTAACTTCGATTAATTACGATTCACGAAATTTTTTCGATAATTTGTAATCCAATCATATTAATTATAACCATCTCATTTCATTTTTAATCTGCCTATATGAGAACTACGATTTACTTTTTAAGGCGATTTTTAAAAAACGTTAACTGATAAGAATTGCTATCAAAGCTTATCTTATTAATTCTTTGTCTACAATCTGGGTCTTTTCGTTCAGCCCAAATTTTTTTACTGTTCTAAGCTTTCAAAAAATGTGGGAAAATTCAAGAGTTACTTCTCAACCTCTCTATTACATTACAAAATAAATGTTACATGATATTTTAGAAGAAGGAACTGGACTTGGCTTTTTTTTACTTTGGAGAAATTTGAGAGAAATTTTGACATAAAAGACTCATATTGCAGGCGGAGAGTTAACAGCAATTGTATCAAAAATCAAATCATCTTAAAAATAATAAAGAACCTATCGTAATTCCAAGTTTTAAATTAACCGCAGCTCGTCCAGCATGCATTATTATCGGCTCATTAAATCTCCCAAGACGTCGCACGGGTTGCGTGAAGACTCGCGATTTCTGCGAGATTAATATGCGATGATATTGAGACGAAGAGAAAGAGGGAGAGGAAGAGACGCGCCCAGCCAGTGCGTGATTGCACGCGTGCAAGCTCGCTATGAGGTGGTCGCATAACTCTCGCAAAACGTGTGAGAGTTTGAGGACGCATTTAGGGGTACAAGCCGGTACGCTGCGGCCGCTCGCTCGATAGGAGCGCGCCTGCGAGTGGGAATTCGCGGTTTTTCGCGGCAAAAATGCGTGCGCGGCACGCGCGCTGACGTTCTATTTTCGAATGAAACACACAATCAGAGGACACGAACGAGAGAACTAATGTAGAAACCTAGAAAGGGGAAGAAAAAGCCGTTGGAAGAGAGACACAGTCCCTCTCGTAGAACGAGGGGAGGAAGAGAGATTTTATTTGTGCTCCAACGAACGATACGGAAGAGAGAGCGAAGTAGGGAGGTTGGGGAAGGAGGGAGAGGGAAAGAGAGATGCAAACAGTGGAAGAAGAGATACAAAATGGAGAGAAAGAGAAAGAGAAAAGACGAAAGAGAGACGGACAGACTGTCGTGAGGGCTCGAATGGAAAGAGGAGGAAGGAGAATAGGAAAGAGGAAGAGTAAAAGCGAAAGGAAAAGTTGTACGTTTACACAACGGAGACGCAATGCAAAAACAAGCGAGACCAACGCACGCGGATGAAGCACGAGAGCTTCACGACGCGTAAGAAAAAATGATGTGTGCGCGACAGATGTGTGTGTGTATATATATATATATATATACATATATATACATATATATATTACGTATATAAAATTATATATACAAAACCTGTTGTAAAATGTATGCACATAAAATCTGCAAATTCGGAAAGAGAGAGAAAGAGAAAGGGGTGCGCTGACGCGCAGCGAGAGGAAGACGGATGCAGCGCGAGAATGAGAAGACAGGACGGCGAATGTGAACGTACATAGCGTGATGGACACCGGCGAGGGACTCCGATTTGTTTCGTGCTAAAAGCGGCCATGCTGTGTCTCCGTTGCGTTCTGAGAACGAGCATCTTTTGCATACGTGCAGAAAAGCAGGTTCTAGCGGTGACAAGAGTCGACCGATGTCTTCTTAAGTCAATTCACTCGACGGCACGTTGCGAAGCGTCTGAATCGAGCGTGGAGCGATGTAGACGCTACGATACGCAACGGAGTAAGATCAACGAACGAAAGAGGAAGACAGCCGGGAAAGAGAAAGGGGAAGAGAAAGGAAGAAAGAGGAGTGTGCGCGACAAAAGGTAGACAGAGAGAGAGAGAGAGAGAGAGAGAGAGAGAGAGAGAGAGAGAGAGAGAGAGAGAGAGAGAGACGAGCGTGGACGCAGCAGATGGACAGATAAATAAATAGATAGATATAGATATACAGGCAGAGAGAGAAAGAAGATAAGCACACGCACCATACAGACTGCCGCGCATCCAGGTCGGGGGAAGGGAGCCTCCTCTCTTTGGTCGCGAGACGAGAAACGACGACGTATTGGTATATACACTCGCAATGCAGCGAGCGGACGGCACGTCGAGCGCTCACACACGTATAGGCCTGATGTGCGCGACACACGCGGCCGCCGGACACACGCGAAGCGATGCGTTCTCGCTGCACGCGTCCCGCGTTTTCCACCCGCGGCGGCTCAATTTTTCTTTCATCGACGTCGTCGTCGTCGTCGTCGTCGTCGTCGTCGTCGTTGTCGTCGTCGTCGTCGTCGTTGTCGTCGTCGTCGTCGTCGTCGTTGTCGTCGTTGTTGTCGTCGTCGTCGTTGCGGCTGTCGCGGCCGCGCCACGCCGATACAGCGGGATTGAAAACAGAGAAAGAGCGAAAAATAGACAGAGAGAGAGAGAGAGAGAGAACGAAAATGCGTGAGCGAAGAAAGTAAAAGAGAGTAAGGGAGTAAGAGAGAAAGAGAGAGGAGAGGTAAGCGTGGCGGAGCTTGAACGAGCGCAGGGAGAGCTCGTACCCGGAGCGAGCCGAAGATCCGCGGAGCAAGCGGTGCTGCCTATCGGATGGCACTGCGTTCAGCGCCGCGGTGCGCGACCCTCGTCGGCCCTCATCGTCTTTCCTCGTCGCGTCTCGTCTCGTCTCGGCGGCGCTCGTCGCTTTCCGTCCCTTTCCGTTCCGGCGGGTATGCTCTGGCCGTTCCGCACCGCACGGCCGCGCCGCGTCGCGCACGCCGTTTCCTTTCTCGCGTCTCGCGTCTCGCGAATTTGAATTTACGCACGTAAATACTTGTATACACTACGTACGCGCTCAAAGTTCGCGTACCTCTGTACTCCCGCAGGGGTGGCGAATGTCTTACGTGAAATCCTATGACGTTTGTTAATTATTGTCAACTTTTAAATCGATTTGACATGAATATTCTTTGAAGAAGAATGGTGTTATATTAAGTTCTATTACATTATTTCATAATACGTATTATTATGTAATGTTTCCTCCTAGAGTTGGGAAAATTATCTTATAAATTACTTGTAAGACTACTTTTTATTATAGAAATTGAGCATAATAAGGTTTACTTTTTATCATTCGCTCCAATTTTGTATTACTATTTTTGTATTTCATTCTTAATAACAAATACGTATAAGGTAATCTAAAAAGCAATTTATAAAGTAACTTTTTCAATCCTGAATATTCTCTTAAAGAAGTTTTGTCTTGGAGACTTGAGTTCATACTGTATCGTTATGAAAACTTTACATTATTTTACAATTCAAATTAAAATAATTCTGATTATTCAGTAGAATAGCGCATGTTTTTTCTCTTTACTAATTCCTAGCAAGCAAAATAATACGAATTGATGCACGTAAAATGGAAAGAAAGAAAAAAAGAATCGAAAAATCAAAAAAGGTCAACAGATTATTGCGAGCTAAGAAAACTCTTTTACTCGGTTTTATAACCTTTTTCCTGATAGATATACTTATATCTAGTTATATACTTATATCTAGTAGTTAAATTTTCAAAACCCTTACGAAATAAAAGATTCGTATCTCATTTGAAGCGAGATATCTCGGTTGGCATTGATCAAATTAAATCTGTCGATTGTCGCTCTCGTTAGAGAGAAGAAAGAACAGACGTATCTCATCCGAATGCTGACATACGATCGTATGCTGACGTACTTCGGATCAGTGAAAATAATTAATTGAGGGAAGGAGAGGGAAGGGAGGAGAACGGAGAAGTCGGAGTTAATCGTGGAATAGATACTGCGCGATATACGCGCTCACATGTTTTCATATCTACGCGACGACGGCGTATCCCTTCCCTCCGTATATATCTTTGCACAACCCTCTCTTTGTTCTTGGCGAAATTACGGTATCGGTGTCACGACACCCCGGCCCGTTCCTTATTTAGCGACAAAGACGTCAGAGTCGAGCTTAACCGCGTGATATCGGTCTCAATAATTCGCTACTTAATGAATTCGTGACGCTCGACGTAGGAATCCAGAAGTACCTCTCCAGAGGGAGAGTACGCTTCGACGGCGACGTCGCACACATTTTATTTCCGATCGAAATCTCTCCGTTATTTATCGTGTGCAACCTGGTCTGTTTTCTGTTCTAGAATTCTCTAGAATTCTCTTTCTCGCTTTAAACAAATAATCAAACATATATCTATCTCACTTTAAGTTCCAAAAGTGTTCACTAGTTCAGCCACAGAAAACAGATCTCTATGTGTTGACCAGGTCCGACACAGCCATTGTAATGCGAAATGTCAAACGTTATTAGGAAAAAATAAGAACGTCAGTACTTTTCTCACGCAAGTATATAGAATATTTAAAAAATTTTTTAATCCAAGTGTAATAACTATCTTCGTATATATGATTTAGTATAAAAATAATACGCGTTTAAAAATGTGTGAATTAATTTTTGTACATATAATATATATGCAGTGTATTATTTTTATATGAAAGACTTCTCTCTCTCTCTTAAATGATACATACATATATAATGAAGTCACTTGAAAGGAAGCGTATGAGAATATTATAAACGCCTTATCGATTACGTTGCAGACTTACACGTTTTACAAAATCGATAATCTCACAAATCATTTAACTTCGAATTTTCTTTGTTTTCTATCATCGTTACAATTCTGATTTCTCTCCCATATAATGCAGAGCCTTGCAGCAATATTGCAATGTTTGCAATGTCACTGTAATATTACTGGAACGTTGCGACATGTCGATGCAATACCGTTGGAATCTGTGTTGTATGAATCATTCGATGATTTCACGTCTACCGATTAGAAGATTTGTTATCTATTAATTTATTTTACATTTCATCTATTCTACATATCTTTTGTCTACAACGCGATATATTCTTTGTATCTTCTGTTGCACATTCGAATTCTACAGGGCACATAACGCACGTGTTTGGATGGAGAGTGTTAACTGCCAAATCATCACTCGTTATAACAATAAGCATAGCTTAATCCTCATTCATCACCGCGACGCAGTGACATTCATGGCGTTGATGCCGAAAACTCAACGAGACAGCGGGATATGACCGCGTATACGACATACGAGTGCCCACTCGGCGATGCATTAAGCTTTCGCATTGTGCGGAGGTATACTCGCGGGTACCATGTACGAAGTTGTTTACCCCGGTCTCCGATGGCCCGCTGTCCTCGTCGTTCGTTTGCACCTTTCCTCGTCTCGCCGATTTTCTTCCCTTCGGTCCCCGTGTACGCCGTGTCGGCGCCAGCGGCGACGACGGCGAGGGCGAGAGGGAACGTTCGGGGTCGAGGGGGGGAAAGAGGGCAGACGGACACGGAGCAGAGAAGCGGCGAGGTGGTTTAAAAGAACCTCAAAGACCATAAAGACCAAGTGATAATCGGTCAAAGACCCTTCTGGCCGGGGCCAGACGGCGATGCACTCGTCCGAAGTGCGCTGGAGCAGACAACGGACGAACGAACGAATGAACGAACGGACGGACGGACGGACGGACGGACGGACGGACAGACAGACAGACAGACAGACGAACGGACGGATGGATGGACGGACGGACGGTTGGACGGACAGACAGACGAGCGGACACGCGCACCGGCGGCGAATGTAACCAGAAGACCAAAGGAACCGGAACATTCTCGTATCCTGGTGCACAATCGCAGTTCCACTCGTCGGAGTTTCCGTCGCAACCAAGTCTCTCCTCGCTCGCGCTCTCTGATCTATCGATCGTGAGAGACGCGAAATGCATTCGCGCGCGCGTATAGTATACTCGCGGATGAACGAGGCGATCTGTCTCTGTCAAGGCGAGTTTATTTTTGTCGGCGGCCCCATGATGTCCCGTAATGGCAAAAGCGATCTATACAGGGTGCCCCGGCGAGATACTCGCGGCTCGCATCGCTCTTCGGCTTCGACTACGGAATTTATTTATGCACCTCGCATCCCGAACACGTTAGTCGCCAGATGAGAGACAGTCAATCCTTTCACGCGTGCAGATTTTTTTTCCCCCTTGTTTGAACGCGCCAGCGTCTGCCCGAGGTGACGATTTGATTTTCGCGGATTTGCATAACGCAGTGAGCGTAAGCGTGAAGAGATGTATAAACGCGAAACGTCGCGCATTCTGCGAGATTTATGCTAGGCCTTTTACCAGCGACGATACATACTTACTCTTGCGTTTATCTTTACTCTTTGCGTTTTGTTCTTATGGAAATTGATGCGTGGCGGGTTCGGTGCAGATAACAAGAAACAATCGAGTGAGAGTCATTGTCATATGTCTGGAATGTCCTATGCGAGACGGGTGTGACTCGTCATCTTAATTCCAAGGTGTCAGGAATAAACAGTCTACATTCTTTTGCGCAATGTTATTAGATAGTCGG